GAGGGACAAGTCTTTTGTTTGTGTCCAAATGGAAATTTATTGAACACCCCTGTCCTAGCTCCTACCCCATCATACTCAAGTTACCACACTTTTTGAGACCAACTTAAATGCATGCGTTTCTCCGCATTCAATAAAGAAACGAATTTTGACGTCACACCGTTTAATGTAAGGAATTTGATTTTTAAATTATTTTTACATAATGAAGAACTAAGTTTGTTCTGTCAATCTTTTTTTTATTTAATTTGCTCTTAAATAGTATGTATGCTAATAAATTCAATTATAATTGCTCATATGCAAGTTGAAATAATAAAATAGACTTGTAATAACTACCAAGTTGTCTTATGAACTACAATAAAGAGGACCTCAATCATTCGGAATGTAAAATGCACATGTTATTCCATAAGAAATAGTTTTTCTTATCATGAAAAGACATACTTTTTTTTAATATAATAAAAAAATATTTTTTTTTTAATATAATAAGAAAATAAGGATTAACGAAATGGACATACAAATCATGATTGATCTCTGCTCTTGTCGGAAAAGTTCATCTTCTTGTTGAGAAAATTTTTTTTTAAGAAAAACCGATAAAAATAAGAATTCATTCTATTACGCCGAATTTTATTTGTTTTTTACATTATTAAAGACACAGGAATGGAAAAACTGCACAGCTACCCCCTTAATCGACATATAGCTCATTTACATTATAACAAAATTTATAATACTGCAAATTATATTTGCTATAATTATATTATATATTTAATTTGCTCTTAAATAGTATATATGCTAATAAATTCAATTATAATTGCTCATATGCAAGTTGAAATATTAAAATAGACTTGTAATAACTACCAAGTTGTCTTATGAACTACAATAAAGAGGACCTCAATCATTCTGAATTTAAAATGCACATGTTATTCCATAAGAAATAGTTTTTCTTATCATGAAAAGACATAATTTTTTTTAATATAATGAGAAAATATTTTTTTTTAATATAATAAGAAAATAAGTATTAACAAAATGGACATACAAATCTTGATTGATCTCTGCTCTTGTCGGAAAAGTTCATCTTCTTGTTGAGAAAAAAAAATTTTAAGAAAAACCGATAAAAATAAGAATTTATTCTATTACGCCGAATTTTATTTGTTTTTTACATTATTAAAGACACCGCTTTCTCCAAAATTGTGAGACACGGGAATGGAAAAACTGCACAGCTACCCCCTTAATCGACATATACCTCATTTACATTATAACAAAATTAATACTGCAAATTAAATTTTCCAATGTTTTTTACAACTTTAATAAATATTCTAGAGCCGATATGGCTTATGTGATAAGTGATTTCACTTCCTATTGATGTGATTTGGGTTAGAATTACCACGTTAATTCATATACTGCTCATAGTTTGCACTGACAACAGTTCCGACATACAATACCTCCATTGGTAGGGGGATCATGTGTAAAAATAATCTTGCCCTCGAGCTAACCCTGGAGTATTTATTTATTTTTTAGTTTTTTTTTTTTTACAAATGTAAAGCAAACGTGAGCTTGTTTCAATTCTGATGTCCTCCATGAAAGTGAATTTGTCGTAAAACTTTACCTGGAAGTTTCTTGTACTCTAAGTTCGGTTCAAAATAGCAAAACTACGGGTTTTAGTGTTAGCTCCAGCAGTGGCCACCCAACAGTGCCATTGCGCCGAGCACGCTTAGTCTTGGGTAGTGTAGACAATATATCTCTTCCACCTCTGGATGCACCGTTCATCAACTTTGGATTCTCGAACAGCACCCCGATTTCCAATTTCTTCAGTTCTTTCAATTGCAGTGAGCTTAAACGGAGCCTTATAAATATTCCTCTTAATGGGAGGCATTTGAAATATAACTTAAAAACAAGTGATATTGAAATTTAAATAAAACAAAACAACAGCAACAAAATTAATGAGACAAAAATATTAATGGAACAAAACTATTAGCGAAGGAAAAATATTAACAACACAAAAACGCAACAGAACGATAAAAAAATAAGCTAAGGAAGAAGAAGATCAAACTCTTAAAGCAGAAACAGGAGCAATGAAAAAAAATCCAAGAAAAAGCGCTCCTCTCTCAAACATTTAAAACACGTTTCTATATTCCCCTTTTCCTTCCCCTACTTTCTCTTCTCAAATCAGACTTCAGAAAACAGCTCTTTTTTATTTACTGACAGCCTAGGAGTATGTAAAATTCTCCCCCTCTTCACTGACCTTCAGTTGAAAGTTAGAAATTCTTCTTGAACAATTTAGTTGTACGATTATTCAAGGTCATCACAAGCTCATTGGCACCATTCATTCATCAAACATTCACATGTTTTTAACAAGCAGCTGGAAAAAAAGGGAGTGGATGCTTACTGATAAAAGCCATGACAATTGGAAGAGACATATTTCCTGGAAAAAACAGGGGAGGAGTGCTTGTTTCACAGTGAATGTCATCACTGGCACTACCCTGATTTTCTTTATTCATTCCTTTGCTGATTTATGCTTCTCCACTCCATGCCTGTCCCCTACATTCAACAGCTGTTCCTATAGCAGAAGGGAAAGAGAAACTTTTGTTCTCTTGCAGATAGGGGTTTTCAGAAAGTGATTCTAAGAAACATGGGGGAAGGGGAAATTCCAGGTGTGTTAACCATTCTTTGGAGTAACATTAAGGATGAAAAAATAAAAAGCACTAGTAACAGGTGGAAAAAATGAAGATGAAATTTCCAGTGGGGCTACTAAAAGGCAAAATTTTCTAAGGCATTGCTATATTAAAAAAAAAAAAAATAATAATAATGCTATATAGGCCATCCCATTAGATACGCTTTCCTACTAAATTTTCAAGTTTTAAATCAATAACGCCGCGGCGTGTCTTGGCAAAATTGCAGTAATTTTTTTTCTTGGAAATTTTTTTGCAACATATATCAAAACTAGTTTAGTACAATTTTAATACACTTTCCATAGGTTCAAATATTTATTCTTTAAACCAAAATTTCCTTTCGTATTTTTGCAAATTAAAGTACTGTGAAAGCTTGATATATCAAGATTCATATTTCTAGATGTCCGATATTACGATACCTTCAAAATATTAATATTTAAGATACAAAAATTCTTTGCTTATAATGAGTTTAAAAAAAATATTAGCTTTCCACAATAGCGGCAAAATTTCATTCGAGGAAAATGTATTTTTCTATTATTAAATTAATAAAAGAGGTAAAATGGAAGACTTTTTTATTTATTTATATCTGATATTGAAAATGAGCATCATTTCACCTAATTTTCCTCCTCCAATCATAATCCTTAAAGTTATCAAAGCATACATATGTGGATAACCACCAGCTAAATTACGTTTCTATATAAAAATGGAAAAATATTTTGCTATTATCAGCAGTATTGACATTTGCGCATAAAAAACAAATGGATATACAGTGCTAAAAAAAATGAATGGATCCACCGGAATAACTTTTGATCTACTTCATGTTCTAGGACTCATTCTTAATGGTTCGAGAGGGTGAAGTCAAATATACTAATTAATTAGTGCGAACGATATTTTGAGTTAAGAAATTAGACATAAAAACGTACTTTCTCTGATTAAACATACCTTTTTTCGACAGATTTAGATTTCTGACCCCCAAAATATAGTAGCTTCAATCTGAAAATATTGTTTTAATAGTTTTTTCAGGAGCGCGTTCAAAAGTTTGAACCCTTTAATGTCAACTTTGGTTTTTGTGTCTTTCACTACATTCCAAAAAATTTTTTAAGCGAATTGAAAACGTTTTGCATACAAATTCATACATATCAATCAATTCCAATTCGTTTTTCTAAAGATAATTTCACACAAAATATAAAATATAACTTTTGGTAAACATTTATTATTACTTTATTTAATGAAAGTCGAAAAACTTTAGAAATGTAAGGTATAAAATTTTTTCATCATTTGAAAGAATGCAATTTTAAATGTCAAAATACAAAATTCAAGCAAAGTCAGTCAAATAAATCCTGGGAAATAAATTAAAAAAACTCGTATTTTTTTGAAATTTAGTCAGCTAACTCCTTAATTTTTGTTGTCTGTTTTTTGTAACTTATAATTTTTAACTATAAAAGCAAATTTAAATCGTAGAGGAAGGAATGTTTCACATTGATATGTGGTAAACAATAATTAATTAACTGTGTGAAAGGTTATTCGTTACAGGCGTATGCCAATATGTAAAAAACTTCTGCAGGTAAAATGTACGTATAACTTTATTTGCAAACATTTAAATGATTTAAAAGCTAATTGATGCATATAAAAATAATATTTTCATATCAGATTGTTTTTTAAATGTTTTGTTAAATGTGCATGAAATTTTAAATTTTTACTGTCGAATAATTTTTGCGTTATGATAGTAAGAAGCATAGAAATTGTTTGAAATAGCGGTGACTGCTACAACTATTTTTCTTTATTGCAGAAGTAATTTTTAAGCTTACAATGTGTGGTAAATTGCACCATGCAGTACAAAATACATCAACAACAGAAAAATGCAATATAAATTTACATTAAAATAAATCTGTACATTATAGTATCAATATTAGTGATTTTAGATTCTTAGAAACACTCTTGAAAAAAAATTATGTGAGTAAAAAATGTAAAGTACGTGAAATTCGTTTTAATTTAAAATATTTTGAATTCATTTGTTTGAGCCCCTGGCGAGACTAGACCCCTTGTCGGGCAAAGTTTTGCGCCATCCTAGCTTAAGGTTGTGCTGTATAAATTTCTTCTGTCAAGTCTGCATATAAATATATAGTTTTGATGCAACTTGACAGTGAACCCAGCTCATTAAGCCTACAAAAATAGTCTTTGATAGAAAAATTTACCCCAGGATTGTATGCTTCATAATGTCAATTACCATGTTGTTGCCTAAATCCTTGGGCTGTGAGTCTGGCTTTATGTCTCACTTTTCTTATGAAATATCTGTCCTAAGTACTAAAAAATTGTTAAAAGCAGACTTTCAAATGCAGTAAATGAATCTTTTTTAATTAATAGGTAGCATAATACCTCATCCTGGTGTGGATAGTAACTATGATTCTGCATGTAAAGAGATAAATGATACCAATGAAGAATTGGAATCTTATCGAAAACAGCAATGCAAAAACCTTAACTGTTCTGTAAGCTTATTTCTATTTTCTTTTTTTTTTCTTATTAATTTTAAATACATGATGTAGGTTCAGTGGATAGTTTCCTTACTAGTTGTGTGTTTTCTGCAAAATTCTATTTCCCTCTGAACTTTTTAAAAAAATAATAAGAAAGAATATATAAATCTAAGTTTAAGAGAAAAAAGCATTTTTTACATCAAATTTTAGTAATAAGAATAACTATTTTTTTCTTCCTATAAGTTTTAGTACAAAATGCTTTTGATTTTAAAAATTATGGGGGGAAAAAATAGTTATTCTTATTACTAAAATTTGATGTGAAAAATGTTTTTTATTTCATTTTTTTAAAAGTAGAAAAATAATTGTTTTTTTCAATAAGGGTTTTAATTTTCTATTCATCATAGTTCTAAAAGAATGGGTCGTATCCTGAAATCAGTGAAATATTTTAACTGTAATGTCTATAAATAAATTGAGAGGCAATAGCACTACTTTTTAATTTAAAAAACTAAAAAGAGAAACATTATTTTTATCGATGATTTTTGAATAACCTATTGTAAATATAATTTAATAATTACATAGATGAAATGTCTAATTGACATTTTAGTGAATTAACTTTAAAATTTATATATTACTTGTTTCTAATACTTTAATCAATCTAATGTTTTTAGAATATTTTTGAAGGTTAAACACATGACATTTTTGGGGTATATGTACTTTGCTTTTACACTGTACAACATTTGGGATATATTGATTTACGGTTTGAGTTAAACATTTAAAATAACAATTAAGACCTATAGTAATTTATTTATGAAAATCTCATATTAAAATACCACAATATCCTGCCATTTTGAAAAAGAAGTTTGCAATATTGGATATTTTACTTTCCACAAAAATAGCTATTACAGGCTGATTCAGGATTAGGAATGATTTACCGCCCTTGAAGAAGAGAGAAAATATTAAAAAAAGAGTCACTATATGTTGTGTAGTTCACACTAAACATACCATAACCGGTCAAATGACCGTTTAAGAACGTTTGCATCGAAAATGAGCTTATCTTTTTTGCACATTTGACTTCATGACTTTTTTTAACAATTATATTCAGTTAATATTCTATTATTATTATTTTTTGTATTTTGTTTGTTTCAAATAATACTTGTTGTATACCTTTCTATCACAACCGGTCATTGAGCAATTTATTGCTTCAAAAGGTTATTGGATCAGAAATTGCGATGTAATGCGTGTTCAACATATTGCATTCGATCAGTTGCACATTTCTGCAAAGACTGTTGCATAGTTATTTCAATCAGAATAACTTTGAATGCAAGATATGTTTAGTGTTATGTAAGATTAAAGTAAAAACTGCCTGAGAAATCTTAATTTTTTCAAAAATGTTATTTTGACCCTTTATGTATTTAGCTCTTCAACTATGCCCTATATTATTACAAAGTAGTTTAAAAAGTGACAATTATTTTAAAACATTATAGATATAATTATTATTATTAGCAACACTTTGCATTTCAATTTTTAAAATATATTCATTAAAAATAAAAACTCTTAGAAAAAAAAGTTTTTGGTTAAAATACATTGTATAGTTTCTAATTAATAACATTTCAAACTAAAATCTGAATAACGATTTTCATGAGATGGTACATTTCATTATTAAAAAATTGGTAATATCAAAAAATGAAACAGATTATTTAAATATGAATTAAATTAGTTTTTCATCTTAGGAATCAGTTGTATTCTTATTTATTAACTTATAAAATTTTTTGATTCCAGTTTTTTTTAAAGGCCAGCATAGTCCGTGGCATAGTGTATTTCACATCTGGATATCACATGTTTCTGTTGTGGAAAAACAGAGAAAATTCTGATGAAATATTTCAGAAAAATCTGAAATAGTCAAGTTGAAGTTATTATATTTTTAGTTTTTAAAATTCCTAAATTAATAATGGATTTTGTTAAGGCATTTTGCAAGGTGTTCCTTATAAACAATTTTTAAATGTTTTCATATTTCTTTTAAGCTTTTTGTAGATTTTTGGTTCTGTATTTATTTAATCCTATAAAACTGTAAATATATTGTGTATTTTAATATGCACATCTTAGAAAGCAAATCTTAGCAGCATTTTTAAATAATGAAAAAAAAAATTCTAAATCTAACTAAATTGACTGGCTCAACTAAGTTACTACTTTTCTGTTCTATGATATGTTTTTTTTTTATTTTATTTTAAAAAAATTTTTCAATAACATAAATTCAGAGAGTATCCATAAAGTACTTAACTAAATAATTATGTTTACTTTAGAAACGTTCCTAAAAAAAAAAGACAAAAACTTAATTTCAGTGTTTATTCATGATTTTTGTTCTTTACATTTGTTAAATTTTTTTTCAACTATAGATGATCAAGTATGTTAATGTTGGAAAAAATCGTTTCTTATTGGAGGTACCAGAAAATCAAAAATTTCCAAGCTATTATGAATTTATTGGTGCAAAAAAGGGCTTCAAGAGATTTTATACGAAGGATATTAAAGACCTATTATCAGTTTTGTCTGCAGCTGAAAATACTAGAGATACTGCTTTACGAGATACCACTAGAAAAATTTTTGAACTATTTGATAAACAGTAAGAATTTACCTTTTTATTAATTTAAATTTTTTAATGGTGCGTAACTGAAGACATAACTGATTTTACAATGGTTGTAACTTACAACTTTAAAGGTTAGAACTTAGTTGATATTGATTTAATTTGTAGCTTTTTTAATACAGTGAAACCTCTTTTGAGCGACCATTCTCTGTTCTACAGTAAAATGGTCATTAATGGAGGTTGGTCATTTTTGAAGGTTACCTCCATTGACTTCAAAATGTTATTGAAGGTACATGATTTTTCACAAACGATTTTAATTTTAGTTAGTGTCATTTTTTTGGTGGGGAAATGCCACTTATGTTAGTGGCATTTCCGGCAAAACCGGATTGATGAATGAAATTTAGTGTCAATAAAAATGATCCCTAATGATAAAATTATGTGTAAAAAGAAATTTACCGAATATGAACAATAGAACTATTTTTAAATAAACAATTTTTTTCTGTTTAAGCTTGTATTTAATTTTATATCATAAATACTTGCTTTAAAAGATGAGAAGTTTCTTTGTTTCAGATACTTAGTTTTATTCTAAAATAGTTTTTTTTGCCTGGCTATTTTATGACCAGATGTCATAATGTAGCTGGGCCATATATTTAAAAAGATGTCAACTAAAGACGGGCATTTTAACTTCATATAGTTTTAAGTAATTAATCTCTTCCAAATGATTTTATTTTTTCCAAATGTTCAACAGATTATTTTACAGTTATTAAATTCTAAATTTCTAGGTTTGCAAAGTTATTTGATGCAGATTATTGTGTAGATAAAATGTTACCTCAGATCAAAATTTTTATTGATTAAATAATATTTATTCCAGCATAATTTTTAATATAATGTATATGTTTTTAATTTTATTAATAGTTTTATTTTATCGATAAAAGAAAATTTACAAACCACTCATTCTATTCATATCTAAATATTGCACATTATTTTGCTCGTTCATCTATATAAACTACTTTTTAATTTTGGGCAAGATCTATCATCTCGATAGATATCATCAAGATCTATAATCATTTTATGAATTGTATTCTTTTTTAAATTTTATATTTCTTTCAAGTATTGATTTTTTTTCCCTTTGAAAAATAAGTAAAAGCTAGTTAAATTATTTAAAATCTTATTTCTTATACTATTCATTTGCAATATTATTGTGGCCACAATCTGTATTATCCACAATATTTCTTCTAGGTGAAATATTATAAGTGCCGCAACGAGTGCTAATAATAATTTGAAAAACAAATATATATAATATCTTCTATAGGAGGTATTAACTCAGAAAAGTTTACTTTTCATTTTATTAATAAGCATTTATTCGATATAAATTAATTATAGTTACATCTGGTAATAAGTTGACCTCACTGAACATTAAAAAAAAGCAACCAAACATCAAAAGTGTTATTTTTGAAAACATAAATAAATAAAAAAAAATTTGCCTACTGCGCATCCACAGGTACTCAAACCGGGAAAATCTTCAGGTTAAAGTTAGTTAACTCTAGGTCCAACTAACACGCAATTACGTACATGGTGAAATGAAACTTTGGAATCTAACCTAATCTTAAAAGCTGTTTTGAACTGTGATTGAGGGTTAGTTTCCATTTTGAATTCAGGCAAGTGATATGTTAATAGTTAACCCACATTATCATCACGAAAAGTCTAATAATGAATATTTCTATTGTAGGTCCACAACTTTAAATGCACCTGCCCTGTGGAATCATTTATTTTTTTAAGCTCATTGTCTGTAAATTAAAAAAAGTACAAATCTCAACTGAATATTAAAATGCATAATTAGTATCATTTCTAAAAAATTCACTCCTACTAAATCAACATTAAAAATAATCTATTATTTAATTAAGAGATTATTTTTCTAGCTTAAAACCTTTTTAATTTTCTACTTAGCAATCAAGTCTCTTATCATGCGGCTGGATATGAGAGTAACTCATTTTTGTCTATCCCCAAAATTTACTGAAATTTTTGATTGAGAAGTAGAAAAATTACTCAAGCAATCCACATAGCCCACCCTTGTGTATGAATTTTAAATAATGAGAATTTAAACTGAGTTCTACTATTTTGAAATACAATAGAACAGTTTGTCTGAGAAATGGTCTACACACTGCTGACATCCAATTCATTTTGTTCTAGCCGACAAAAAATTAAATTGACCTCTCAGGCTGTTATAAAATGTAATAAAGGTTATAAAAAGGTGAAGCAAATTATTCCTCTTGAATATATTTTAGTATTCTCTTGTATCAATTGGATGTATGTTGGAGAATTAGTGTTCACAGTAGATTGTTGCATCATATTTTAAATTATAGCATATTTCACTGTTCTTAATGCTGTAATGTTAGTAAACAGTTTAAAATGAAGAGTATTTGCAGATTTTTTTTTGTTACAGCTATAAGAAGTGGCAGAAAGCAGTCCAATGCTTATCAACTCTTGATGTTTTACTAAGTCTGACTATTTACTGTAAAACAAATGAAGAAAGTGTTTGTAGGCCCAAATTTCGTTCCAGAGTTAACAATGAAAAGGTATGTAATAAACTCTCTTATAGGATCTTCATAAGGTGCATCCAAAAGGTAATGTCACTGTTTTTATTGTGTAGCTTCATGATTCAGCATGCTCAGGCTAATTATAATCCATAAAGGGATGGTCAATAAGGCTGTTCAGTCATCTGCAACCATCTTAAGTATAAAGATTGGCGTATTCTTGAAACCCTTTTTTATATCCTATGCAACATGTGATGAATTAATATAAAGTTTTCTATAAAACCCAGCAAGTTCCCATTGAAGGCATTCCCAATGATAAAAATGGTTTTTAGTGATTATTGTTTATCAAAAACGCTAAGTCTACTGGTGGCACAAAGCAGTAAAGAACTCTGTTCCTACTAGTAGGCTACCTATGACCAACACTGATGAAAACCTGACTAAATTCTTGAACTCAGATTGTCATTTGAGTGTTTAATAAAAAAAAGACCTTCTGAAAAGTCATGACCAGATATCGCTGATGATTGAAAACTTGAACATATCAACTTGCCTTGCCCCACCACCTGATTTGTGACCTGCTTTCTAGGTGAAGGTGCCATCTGTTCCTCAGCTGCATTGAACTCCTTGCATATCACCCTTAGACTTTTTCTTATTTAGACAATTAAAAATTTCCAATTAAGGTAAATTGACAAAAGACAGTTACACAAAGGCTTTTAAGAATGTTCCATAGAGGATTAATTTGACGCCTTCAATGCCTAGAAATCTTACTGGAACATATATAGGATTTTTAATATGTTGTACTGGTGTTTATTTGTTTTTTATTACTGCATGTTTTTTAATCAACTCAGTGACATAACTTTTCACAGAAACCATGTAATGTAAACAGTCTACCTCTGGTATTAGGATTTGTAAAAATAACTTGTGGTTGAAAAATTCTTAATATATGGGATATCCTTTTTTTTAAATCAATTTTGCAAATTACAATTATTGTGTGATAGTTACTAATGTCAGTAATAAATTTTGTTTTCTTAAAAGAGTGAAATCATTATGAAAGTTTACCACCTTACCACTTCTAAACTGGTAGAAACAAACTATTATTTTTAAGCTACTACTTATGATATTCTTTTCTTTTTTATTGTTTAGATATCCTGAATGAATGGTGTCAAAATATTATCTGAAAGTGAAAGTATACATAAAAAATGTAATTATTTCAATAAAATATAATTTTTTTTTTCTTAGCCTTATCTTGAAATTATTGATGGAAGACATCCTACATTTTCAAAGTTGTACACTGGCAAAGATTATATTCCTAATAGTGTGTACATGGGGGAAAAAGTGAGTAAAAATAAGTTTTGTGTTTATTTTCCTGTTTTGTAACAGATTCAATTGCAAATCATACTAATTTTAAATCCTAACAGTTGATGGTATGACAGGATGAAGAAATTTTCTCTCATATTTTTACGTTCCAGCCTAATAAAAAAAAAATTTCTTTTGATCAAGCTTCTTTTCTTCGAAACTTTTTCAAGGTCTTAGTCATGGATCTTAAAACAGGGTCATCTCTTATCCTTCATGTAGTTCTAGAGTTCCTTCATAACCCATCAATTAAGAGTATGTCAAGTACTATATTTTTATTTCATTCAATAGAATTTTTTAAAGTTATGCAAGTTTCATAGTCATCCTAATTTTCCTAATACAAAATATTTTATCCTAATTTTTAGCTTTTTGTGCTGAGATTCTTGATTTTCATGTGTTTTTAAATGTGTGTGTGCATTTATGGATTTAAAAAAAATTTGAATTGATTTGAAGAATAGAAGGATTAAGATTTTTGATCCAATATCTTTTTATTTTAATTAGTAATGTTTGGAAAGATTGCAAAATTCAAACATTCCAATTTAGGAACAGTTAACTAATAATATACAGTGGAAAGTCACATATCCAGAATCGGCGGGACTTCTAGAAGTACGGATATTAGATTTTTCCATATAATAGACCCCAAAGGTAAATAAAGCATAAAACGATCTGAATCTAAGAAGCAAAAGGTAAATAAACATTATTTTTCGGGCAATAATGTTTTAGTATTAGAATGATGCCTAATCAATCAAAAACAAAATATTAGCAAAAAATTATTTTTTCTTAAAATATAGAAAACGAAAAAAAATTTGACAGTTATGAAAATATTAATTGCTTTCTCTGCTATTTTTAACTAGAACAATTCAAGCGAAAAGGGGGAATTCCCGTCATTCATTAAGGTAGGTAGGTGGAGGAGAAAAATTAATTTCCTCCTTATTTGTCATTCAAGTTGAGGGCGGGTATGTGATGAATTCTTATTTTCTCTCCCATGATTGGCTATCAATCAAGCATAAAAGTGCTGCATGCTGATTGGGTTCTCTTCTTGTGTGACTGAAAGTGACTCCACATTAACATTTGCTACGTTTACCCTTTTTCACAGTATTTCTTCTTTCTCTAACACTCTAATGAAAAGGTTCAAGGAAATGCCTCTTTTACTAGCTAGCTGCATAGGAAAGGGGGGAAGGGACTCAGTTGTGCTCTTTTGAAAACAAATCCAGATAAGAGTAATTGAAGTAGTTGCTTTATACAGCGCATGCACGGAAAAAATTTTTAAAAAAAATTATCCAGGTCCATCTAAAATTGGATGAATATCCCGGGTAATTGACTCTTCAGGAAAAGGGACGTCGATATAGGACGTTACACTGTATATGGTTCGGGCTTATAGTATTACTATATTATTTCAACCTTTTCAGGAATTCACTCATTATTTATATATATAGAGAGAGAAAGATATATAAATGTTTTGTTCATAATAATTAATCAAAATAATGTATTATCTAAAATTGTAAAAATAATTTGTCATAATAAATCAAAGGTAACTAAAATTGACTAACTAAAAAAAGTAGATTAAAAAAAAGATCTAACATTTCAATATTCTTGAGGCAGAAGTTTCAAGACCCTTTACTCAGACACCCAATTGACAGTACTCCAGGAACGATTAATAATAAAAGAATCTTGAGGATACTCCTGATTATAGTTGGCTCGGCAAAAAAAATCTGATTTTTTCTTAAATCCCCTATTGCGCAAGCGTGCATTATGATATGGCAAAGGTAAGTATGAAATCCCGCAATTTGATAGAGTGTCAAATTGTCTGACAATGACAATTCCCTGTCTTGATTTAAAATTACGTTTTCCCCCGGCAATTCACTGACTTTTTTTTCTGAATCTTGTTTTCCCTGACAATTCCCAGGGCTTACGAATCTGTTTTCAGACGATAAGGTTGTTCAATTTCCTAATTTTCAATCTAGGTTAAAAATTTTACAGGATCCGAGTGAAGAAAAGGTTCATACTTGTTTAGTATTTTTATTTCGCTTTTATTTTTTGAAACATGTTATTAAGGAGTTGCAAATCTTAGTCGCATTTTTAATTAAATGCTGCCAATTTTTTTTCTTATTTAGTCCGCTTTTTTAAATAATGAGTTTAAGAAAAAACAATTAACTATTCAATTTGGATTCAAACATATTTTATAAATCTCTTGGGAATAATTTAATTTGTACCAATAATAAACATTTATTTTATTTCGATAAATTATGAATTTTATGCATAATAGTCCTGACAAAGCTTGATCATTTTTGTATTTTTTCCCCCACTAGCTCAGCCAATTATGTTTTGAGTAATAATTTACTAAATTCTTCTGATTATTTAATTATATTCCTACTTTATTATTGATTAAAAAATAGCTGTAATTTAATCATTTTCTTATTCCAATTAGTATTTTGTATTTCCATTTCACTTTATTATTTTTTTTAAACTTTTTCTTAAAGTATAGGGATGTTTTTTTTTATTATTTATTTCTTCTTCACCTGTTCACTAATATGTGTGTGCGATGCTTTTCCTTCTCATCCCCTCTTAAATCAAAAAGAAAAAAATATCAAATTATTCTCAGTTTTCTGGATATCAGATTAATAGTTCTGTACTGTATTATGAAATTTTACTTTTTTTAGGACAATTCACGTGATGGTAATGAAGGCGGAATAGTTGTTTTAGTTACTGGACCTAACATGGGTGGAAAATCCACATTAATGAGACAAACTGGAACCCTTTTGGTGATGGCTCACTTGGTATGTTTTATTAATTTATTTTCATTTTGAAATTATTTAAAATCTGTCCAAATAGTTCATATTTTATTGTTATTCAATGTCTCTAGGAATTGCTGCACTTCCATAGATTATTTTTTTAAAATTAATTAATGATCAATTAGTCTTTTAGAATCCAAAAAAAAAAATTTACTTTCATGGCTCCATTAATTCTTTTTTCATAATAAAATCTCCATACAGGTATTTCATTATTTTAATGTATTTTTGCTTAGTTTCTACTACCTTGCTAATTTAAAAAATGTGCAAAAAAAAAAAAATAAACAGAACACCCTGAGTAACTTTCGATCCAATGATTGAATTTTCACAAACTTGACCTAAAATATGCTAATTAATTAGTGTAGATGATATTTTAAGTCAAAAAATCAGGCATAAAAACATACTTTCTCTGAATAAACATACATTTTTTGATGAATTTGATTTTTAACCCTCAAAATATAGGAGGTAGCTGCAATCTGGAAACTAAGATCCTAATAGTTTGGTCAGGTGATCAGTCGAAATTTTGGACCTCTTTCCTAAACCAAATATTGTAATTGTATTTCCCAGATTGCAGTTACCTCCTATGGTTTAATAAAATAGGTATGTTTATTCTGAGAAAGTACGTTTTTATGTCTGATTTCGTTACTTAAAGTATCACCCTAATTAATTAGCATATCTAAGGTCACCTCCCTGAACCATTGTCTTAGTGCATGAAAATCTGATGAAATAGATCAAAAGTTATTCAGGGTATTTTGTTTATACTGAATCTTTTTCTTCTTGTTTAAAAGTCATCAAAATTTGAGAAAGTGTGTATAAATGACTGAAAATATATTTAAAAGCTTCTTAAAAAAGTATTTAAAAATCACAGGAATGTACCATGGAATATATCATCACAAACAAGTGCATCAAAAAGAGATTTTTCAAATTTTTGTATGTTACTAGTATCAAATTAAAATTATCAGAATTTGGGAAGAAAAAAAATACTTTGCGAAAATAGCTGACTGATTAAAATTAGAAGCAATGGAACAGTCTTTAATTTAGTTTTAAAAGGAGGTAACTTGTATTCGAAATTTGTATGTTATAATAACACTGAATTAAACATAGTGGAATTTGAAAAACTATATCTAAAAATCACTTTTTTTTTCTTTTTTGCTGTTTGAAGATTTGTGTTTTACATAGATATGTGGCTGAATGGTTTATTCATATTTCGATCATACTCTTAAAAAGAAAAAAATCCTTGTCTGGAATTCCGAACTAACTACATTAAAATTTTTCTCTGCTACCATGTAGTCCCAGCTGCAAGTTTTCCTTAAATATTATTAATGAATCTGTAAGTTAAACTGTGAACTCATTATAAAGAGATTTCAAATACAGTTTTTACTGAAAATTGCATAATACAGTAGAGAACCATTTATCTGGTATCCAGAAAACCGGGAAAATTTTTGTAGTTAATTTATGAATTGTACTTATTTGTAAAAAATAAGTATGAGAATTTTGTATTTTTTAAAATTGTTTTTCTTGTCTAAACTTAAATTTCTTTTTATTCTTTTAAATGTTATTTTTCTACCATTTTTTTTTTTTTTTTTTTTTTTTTTTTTTTTTTTTTTTTTTTTTNGGAGTGCTTTTCTTTTTTCTCTTACTTTAAAATGTTGTACACTTTTTGCTTGTAATTTGGGTTCGCTAAAACATTGATTAACGACACTTTTTGGTCAATCCAGAAAACCGGGATAGCGATGGTCCCGAGTATCCCGGATAATTGGTTCTCTACTGTATCTATTCATTTTATTTCATTGACTCTCATTTTAGGGCTGTTATGTCCCTGCTGATTCAATGGAACTAACTCCAGTAGATAGAATTTTTACTAGAGTTGGAGCCAATGATAAAATTTTCAAAGGTATGTTTGTCACACATTTTTTTTTCTAATGTGTCCCCTATTTATATCATCAATATACTAGGCTAATAATTTTATTGGTTTATCTTTTTTTATCCTATGTTTTTATTTTCTTTAAAATTATCCACTAATTATCTAGCCATAGGATTTAAAAAAAATTGTACCAAATATACCTTAACTACTTGAATAATGGCATTTCTTTGTATTTAGATCACAAGCTTGAATTGGCTCATGACTATACAGTCAATTTTATTTACATATATAAATTTAAGTCAATGAAATCATATATTTCTGGGATGATCAACCACATTTCTAGCCCCTATCAAGTTAAGCCAATGGTGACATCTGATTATTTTTTTTAATCAAAGATTCACAAACTTAAATATTATGCGTGCAAAACTTATATACAAGACATAATACAGGGGGTTATTAATTCATTTTTATAAGTATGAAAACATGCATTCATAATAAACACAAAGAATGAAATCTCTGAATTCCTCATTCAGAGATGATTGTGCGTCAGAAAAAATTGTGATCTAGAGATCTGAGATCCAGAAGTTTCAAGAAATCATCCATCAAAAAAGTTTCTGGAAATCAATGATGTTTCAACAGTTCAAGCCCATTAGACTTTATCTTTTACCCCAAAATAAATTAGGAGTCTTTTTGTTAGGTTCTTGGAAAGCGATGAGGAGGAAATTAGTTAAATAGGAGTGCAAAATAGTGGGCATTTTAGTTCCATTGCAAGAGTTCTTCACTCTGACCTCCCTTGTGGGATCTCCAAGGTCAAGGTTGTAAGCTGTCAGTAAATAATTGATGATTAGGGATAACTCAATTTTCTTGCCACCATTAACTGTAACATGTCCAACCATTAGGAATGATGTAATTAAATTGATAAATTTAAATGCATATTTTTCTTTATTCAATATTATTAAATTTATTTATAACTGTATTCTTGTACCTGAAAAATATAGAAAAATAAAATCTTATTTTAAGATACAACATGTGCTATTTACACATTTGTTTCTTATTTTCTGAATGATCACAATGCAATTTTAATTTGGCCCTGTATTGTAAATAGAACTAAATTAATTGATAGATGAAGAGATGGTTTTTTATTTTAAATAGTAACTCGTTTAATTAACGATATTTTTCAAATGTCGTTTTTGATTTGATACTACAGTCAAACCCTGATATAGTGAACGAAATATTTGGTCCCATGCCTTGCTATACACGTATAATGTTATTTTTTGTGGATATAGTGAACCAAAAAAGTGAGGAAGTTCGATGTAATGAACTTTTTTCTGTCTTCGAATGATTTTTTTTTTCTCATTTTGTAATAATTTTCAAATTTCTATTTCAAAATAAATACATATACCGATTTTTAAAACTATCTATAGAGGGGAATGTAGCGATAAACATTTTTCCTTGTTTGCTTCTTTTATCTCACTTTCCCATCCCTAAACAAACCAAGCAGATGTTTCCAACTCAGGCAAATGATGCACCTGTAAGGAGTCAGTGGGATTAATATGCATTTTCTGTCAGAGGGAATAAGTAATTATTCATTATTGGTTAAAGGGTTGGACACTAATTTGTGTTGATAAGGCCCTCATTTCAACTCCTTTTTGCTCTCAATTCAGCTTAAAAAATCCTGCAAACAAGTGTCTCAAATTTAACTATGGCAAGCAGTAAACGTAAAACGTTCTCCATTGATAATAAAATGGGCATAATCAGAAAATTTAAAATGGATGCAATCAAGTTGATATTTTCAGGGAATATAAACTATCCAAATCTGCAGTTTGTCACATATGGAAAAATAGGCAATTAATAATTTCTGTTCCTGAAAAAAAATTTAGATGGCAGAAAAAAATTGAGAAAAGCCGGTCACAAGGATGTTGAAGAACCATTACTGAAGTGGTTCACCATTCGAAGAAGCCGCAATCTTCCAGTATCTGGACAAATGTCGATGAATTTGCTAAGCGATTTTATAAGACTACTTTTATGTGCTCAAATGCTACTACTTAAATTTTTCAGTCATTTATTTGAATAATGGGCCATTCTGTAAACACTCTAAACCTCAATTTTTATCTTACTTGTACATATTTTTAATTTATTCAATAATAAGGTACATAGGTTAAATCTTAAAAAATGAGATACAATACTAGTTATATTTAAATTTTTATTATGGAATCAGTTCTTAAAATTTAGCATTGTACTTTTTAAGTTTTCTTGTTATAATCAACATATTTACATTTATTTCCTTAGTTAAAAAAATATTATAGCATTTCAATTTTCTTCTTTTTCTTTCATGTATCTATATAATGCTCTTATTTAAAAATAAATTTAAAATTTAAAAATCATATTAAAATTATGTAAAAAATAAAAATTTATTTGAGCAAAAATTGGTTGTCCCCTGCATAACACAAAAACATGATAATTTTTATTTTTCTCATTTATTTTTAGGGCAAAACAGAAACTGCTTCAATTTTACTTTCTTTCTCTTAGTACTGACTTATATTACATAGGAAGTTCCTCTAAGTCTAATATTAGATAAAAAAAATTAGCACTTGTTTTCATGTCCCGTGCATAACTTAAATTTCTCTAAAAATTGTGAAAATCAAAAACTCCAAGAGCATTTATAACTGTAGGTGGCTAAGTAACTTTAACAATTTCCTCATGTTGTAAAACACTTTATCTTCTCGTTTAGGCCATTTCCAATATTTTCCAGGCTTTACCAATTCAGAAACTTCAATATCATTTCCCAGCACTTGCATAACTTCTCCAGCATATAAACTATTATCCTATTTCACAACACCCCAATTTCCTCCAATACTTTTTGTGGTGTTAATTGCCCTGGTATTAAGATTTCTTTTTATTGGTGCTACAGCATTTTTATAAAATTTTAAACCAGAAGGCGAATATGTAATTCCATGCATTTTAGAAATTCCTGGTATTACTCTTTCGTTGGCCCACATATTATTATCTCTGTTTATATCTTTATCTAAAAATAGCATCACTGTAATAGGTGACATAGCTTTTTTTACAACATTTGCAAAATCTTCCGCAGACTGCACAATTGGAACTGTCTTAGCTGCCTAAAACTGTCCTAAACTGTTTTAAAGTGTCTAAAACCTTAAACATTAGTAAAAGATAAAAATTCTATATGTGAAACTATTAAACACATAATTACATACATTAATAAATATTTTATATTTTTTATGCAATTTACTTTAACTTATTGAAGGAAAATAATATAATAGGAAAAGATCAATAACTTTTGAAGCTGCACAATTCATTGAATAACAAAAGTGAGTACCTTATCCTTTAAATATGCTTTTAGTACTGATAAATTATGTTTTTGCATAAGGATAAATAATGCAATATTTAAAGTAATAATAAATTTTTTAACAAAACAAAAACTTGTCTTCATTTTGTTCCTTGTTCAAAAATTAACCTTTTATTTTTCACATTATTTTTTTAAAATTTTAATATAATTTGATCCATAGAGTTTTGGACAGGACAGTTTAAACCGTTGATTAATCCTTTCTTTTTTAAACCTTGCCAACTCTGATGCTTCATTCAGATATGTCACCAAATAATATTTTCTTAATTTAATTTTCTCACCATTCTTCCAAACTGTAACTTCATCCTTCATTCCTGGTAGTGTAAAAAAATATCTGGACGGAAAAAAATTTAAATTAGGTGACTCTTCATCACTAATAGTATTTTTCTGACTAGCTTGCATGTTTAAGCCAAAATTTGTTGCAATTACAGAAACTACTGTTTTTTTTTTTTTTTTTTGGTAGGAGATTTAGGTAAAGATTTTAATGATTTTCTCATTGCTTTTCCGACAACTTGATAAATTTTGTAGGCATTTTCAATTTGGCTTCTTGATGCTGTATTATTCCTAAACTCTGTTTTCTTTCTTTGGCGATACAGTTGTAATTATCCTTTATAATGATTTATAAAGCTTCTAATTCAGATCACCAAACTAAATTCAAAGTAAGAATTAGTGTTGCCACTTCAAAATATACATAATTAAATCAAGTGTATACTTCCGTGTGTAATAAATTGCAGACATGTCCCGTGCATAACATTAGGTATGTCCTGTGCATAACACAAATAAAATAAATTTAGAATTTTATCAAATAATGTATTTGGAAAACATCCAGCATAATTTAATAGAAGTAATATTTATCAGCTAAGAATAAAATATAATGACAATATACAAGTTTTAAATTCACAGAGTTTATGAAAAATAGAAGTCAGGGTAGAAATTAATCTTTTTTCTGAGTCCCGTGCATAACGACTATATTAAATCCCTTTTCAAGTATTTAAACTTTAATTTTTTATTTGTTTTCTATGCAGTCTTTAAGAAACAGACTTGTTTTGAATTGAATTGTAAAAAAAATATTTATTTCCCCGTATATTTATTACAAAACTTCTTTATTGTTACTTGAGTACTATTTATTTCTCTTTATTTTAGAAATTTGGTCTTTATTTTGGCGCTTGTCACAATTTATACCATGATCTTATATCACCGTGAGGAATTGACAATGCATTGTAATATTAGATAGATTAATTTAGATACAAAACTTTTTTAATTTAATATTTTCAAGCTTTTTTTTTATTTAATTATTTTTTTAATGTTAATGCTATCATTTTTCGCTAATTCTGCGTTTGTAAGATTGCACGTCGTAAATATTGTAAATTGAATTTATTTGAATATAATAAGCAAATTTTTATTTCAGTTATTCTTAAAAAATTTAAAATTTTTATTGAGTACAATTGGGCTGCGATTGCAAATAAACATCTCCTATTAACTTTATAACTTTACTTATATAATATTTTTTTTTATTTGCATTATAATAATTTGTAATTACTTTAATCATTTTATTTTACTTCTCTTAATGAGAGGGTTCGTATGGACTGGATCGAATAGTCATTGAAAAATGTAATTTTACCCCAAACCCGAGAATTATCTTGGAATTAGACGATCTGTCTAATGGCGGGAGTTCACTTTTCCATTTTCAATAATGTAATTTGCCCTTGCAAAATAGAGGATTAAAAAATCCTATTTTTTCCATACCAAACATCATTAGATGCATCCTCAAGATTCTTCTATTATTCTGGAGTGTAGTCAGTTGGATGTCCGGGTTTAAAAAAACTGGAAAATTCTGCTCTAAGAGTATTAACAATTGTTAGGTTTTTTTTAAATCTACTATTGTTTCTCAATTTTCAACATTGTTTCCCAATTATGAAAAATTATTGTTTTATAATTTTGGATAATACATTATTTATTATGAAAAAATTCTTTTCATCGGCAATATTTTTTTGATGCCAATAAAAGAACGATGTTTTTTTTAATTGAGTAAACTCTGATTCCTCAGAAATGCTGAATCATTATCAAGTTTTGCATAGTGTGGAATCATATCTGCTTTTCTTTAAAGTTGTCTACATTTATTATACAATGATGATACATACAATGATTTATTACTAAAAATAGAGGATTATTTTATAAAGCAGATTGCAGCTTTCTCTTTTTAAAAAATTTTTGATTCCACTGAATTTTTTTTTCTGTTCAAAACTTTGTACTCAATAAATTAGTTATTGTTCATGGATTTTTTTTTAATTCAGTTGATTTCATGGCCTCTAGGGATTTAATATTTATGTTAGCGTTTCTTTTAATTGTTATTTCCGTTTGATAATTTTTAAATGCCGTTTTTATTTTATTTGATTGATTAATGAGTTTTTCTTGTATTCTATCGTCTTTTTTTTAAATAGTTAAAGACCTTTTTTTCTAATAGTTCCGTCTTTTTAATAATTTCGTCTTTTTTTTTAATAGTTTTTTTTTTTTAAATTTTTTAAAAAGTTTTTTTTAAATAGTTATGACCACCGAAGCCGTCGTCTTCAGGGGGTACCGGCCTTGGAAGCCATAAAACAAAACCTTTTCTTTCTTCAAAACCTTTTTCTTCACATAGTATAAAAATTCCTGTATGTTTTATTTAAAATCATTAAAAGTATGAATTTTATTATGCAACTTTCTTTTTTGTAGATATATTTTTCCAGTAGGTACTTCATAACACCATTTTTGACAATGGAACTTAAAAAAACAGTTTATTTTATTTGTTTGTAAGGGAGAGCCAGATACTTTATAAATTTAAGGTTATAATTCATTTTTTATCTCTAAATAGTTATTCTAATTATCAACTCGAGAAAGAAAGACATGTTTATAAATTTCAATTGTTTCTCCAGGCTTTTCATATGTGTGTGTAAAATTTTAAATATATTTTAAGTAAACGAAGATATATTGAGAAGGAGGGGGAAAATACCTTGATTAATTTTTTTAAAATTCAAACTGTTGCTCTTTTTTCATAGGAAAATTATAATTATGTGTTTAATAATAATAAATGTGATTAGTGATAAAAGTAAACTTATCAGGGATGAAAGACTTCCGCAAAAAAGCGGAAATCCGCTTTTTTCTACCAATTTTTAAAATTTCCGACCATGTTCCAAAAAATAAAATTTTTGGGGAGTCCAATTAGATAACCCAAGCCTCCCGATCGATAGTCGGATTACCGCGACTTCCGCTATAGAGTGGAAAGGAGTCTTAAGTGTTTCGTTTCCGACCGCCGATATTTGATTTATTTTGTTTCGCTGATTTTTGGAATTTTAAATATTAGGAATTGCTCCGGAATCTGCTAAAATCGCGATTTTTAATCAGACAATTTTAATATCAATCATCGATTTTTCGTATTTAACTGATTTAAAAGTTACGTGTTGCGATTCAAGAGCCATACTAGCAATTCCTATTCACTCAATTTAAAAATCCAATATCGCGATTTGTATTTAAGCGTTTTTAAAACACAATTTCGCGATTTGTATTCTCACAAGTTTAAAATCCAACATCGCGATTAACATCAGATATTGTTTTTCTTATTTGTACAATATTTAAAAATTACTCATTGCGATTCGTATTCACGTGATCTAAAAATTATGCATCACAATTCTTAATTACCCGATTTGTATTTTCATGTCTTTAAAATCCAGCAGCGCGATTCATATTCACGCGATTTTAAGATCCAACCGCACGATTCATATTCATGCGATTTTAGAATCCAAGCGCACGATTAATATTCACACGATTTTAAAATCCAAAATCGCGATACATAGTCACTCGATTTTTTAATCCAAAATCGCGATTCATATTCACGCGATTTTAAAATACATTATCGTTATTCATATTCACGCGATTTTAAAATCCAAAATAGCGATTCTTGAAAGAAGTAGAAGTAAGTTTTCTCTTGAATCAGTTACTGTAAAGATGTGGTATATTTTTCATTAGTAAGTAATTTCATAGTCGTGCCTTCCTATAATTGCTTAATTTTTTTTTAATATAGTAATGGTCACAATTTTAAAATTATATTTAAGAAAAATTTAAAGTTAACTGTCTAAATGCTTCTGCCAGTTTAAATAATAAATCAAAGTCTCCTAGCATAGTTAAAAGTTACTTTTATAAATCTCAGTATCATATAGAGCACTCCCCCCCTCCCCCCCTCTCCTCCCAGTGGCCTGCATTGTAAAAGTTCAGCTTTTTTTATTTTTGTCCACTTTCATGCCTGACTTATACATAAATATTCATTTTAATTAAGAATTTATTTAGAATTTCATGTTTTGAGAATATCAAAGATTTCAATTTACAAAGATATTACTTTTTTGAAATGCGTCATAGTGATCTTACTCAAGAAAGTTTCAGGATTTTTGAATCGGGCTCATAATCACCCCTGCCCATTGAAATATATCCCATTAATTCTTTCTTTGGTTTCATCCTGACACTGTTTTATTGCATTATCTGCTGCCAAAATAGCTTAATATCACATGCATTTTGTGAACTGGAAGGTATCATAAATCAAAGCAATTATGTTTGAATTAATTCTACAGTTTATGTTCAACAACTTCATTGTGGTTGCTCTGATTGTCTTATCTTTATGTGATCAAAAGGGAAGATCGTGCACCCCCGTATCCTTATAAACATTGGAAAGAGTATTCTTATCTAAAAAAAAAAAAAAAAAAAAAAAAAAAAAAAANAACATCAATGTTCCTTAGGCCTCTCTGTGCCTTGGGTAGCTGTTTTGTTTTACTGTTTCAATTTTTTATTTCCATGAATGTGAACAACTTTGAAATAAGTGCTCTAAAGAATTCCAATATATCTTGGCTTTACTACACTGGCACAAATAGAACAATATCCTTGTCAACTGCTACATGTGAAGAAGGGTTTTTCATAAGAACTAACATAAGAAATAAATCAATTTAAAATTACTAATTAAACGTATATGAGTGCAAGGAACTGACTTTAAAAAACAAATTGGAAATGTTCTTAGTGATTTCAAAATTGATGCTGTGAAATCATGTTGATGAAATGGTGGTTAGAATTTTGATGTAAATAAAGTATTTAATTTAAATGTATTTTTTTAAATCCAAAATATGTTAACTGTAGAAAAATTATAATAAGTTAAAGAAAGGAAAGAACATATCTCTTATTCAACAGACCATCTGCTACTTCTATCATAAAAAGTCTCTCATCCATAAATTTTTTATGAAATCAGTTTCTGTTACTTATGCAGGGCTGCCTAGTACTATTCTTTTTGCTGAATATTTTTATAGAGTGGTAGACAAATAAAACTAAAACTTTGAGAAGTTTTAGTAATTTATTCCACTTTTTAATTGGCGTTTCATATGAAATTTTAAATCAATAATATGTAGTGCTGTAAAAAGTAACTTTAAATCAAATTTACTAATCAAAGAATGACACACTAAAGCATAAAAATAGCTGCAAGTGGAAGAAATCCCCCCCCCAAAAAAAACAGAAAGTTGACTGCCCTGTTTTTAATGTAATTTTTATTTATTATTATTATTTTACAGTTTTCGTATTTTACTCCCCCAAAATTAATTTTTCTCCACTAAAAGAAGTCGAAGAGTATTTTCACTCCTTGAAAAAAAAAAAATTCTTGGTTTAGTTACACAATATACTCTTTACTAAAATAAAAGTTGTTTATGACATTTGGTATTTACTTTCAGTTTATACATTAAAATAATTATGAAAAAGGGAATGTTTTAGTTTATGTTTCAAACAGTTATTTTGCAATTGGTTTGAGAACATTCAATGCATTGGCTACAGCCGTCTTTTATTATTTATATGTAAAACTGAATTAGGATTGTAGAAAATTTCCGGCAAATTGTAAAAATTTAATCTTCAACTAAAAAATAAGTTATAACTCCTTAAAAGTTGCAAACCTGATTTATTTATTTTATCTTTTTTTATTAAATTAATTTTTCTTTTTAAGGAGAAAGCACATTTTTTGTTGAGTCTAGTGAAACTGCCAGTATATTGCACCATGCTACTAGAGATTCATTTGCTCTTATTGATGAACTTGGTAAGTTAGTTATATATTAGATGGCAATTATATGACAGTAATTATGTGTATTTCAAAGGCACAAAAATTTGAGCCTGATATAGAAATTGAAATACATATGTAATTCATCCATGTCGTCAAAAGTGAGTCTTGTATAATAGTTAGAACAAAAAATGACCCTGTTTATTCATAATATTTTAATAATGAATTTGATATGATTTTGAAGATGCCTTGATAGTTCCCAATCAGAAATTTACATTAAATGATGTTCTCTTATTTTGATATTCATGTAAAACATAATAAGATTTGTTGACTTTTTTGCAGTCATGAATAAAAAGAAAATGAATATTTCATTCATAGGAATATTTCAAAATAACTATTCTCAAGTAGAAATAAATACAGGGTGTCTATAAAAGAACTCCGGGGTTTTGAGGCAAAATATTTTTATGAAATAAAAAACATACATACATGTTTTATACATGACTGAAAAGCTTACATTTTCAAGTTTTTTTAACACTTAGTAAAGTTCTATATGAGCCCCGTTAGTGGCACGGCAGACGTCTAAACGGTATTCTACCTCTTCCCATGTCCTGGCGAGCATGTCTGGGGTGACAGTTGCCACACAATATAACTATTCGTTGACTATTCGTTCCCTGAGATGTTGAACATCACGAATTTTCTCTGCACTTTGTACAGTAACTAAAGACTTCGTTTCTATGAGCCAAATAACACATTGAGCCTTTTGTTGCGGAGTCGCCATCATTTCAAATTTCGCGACGTCATTTCAAGGTCAACGCCCTGCAGCGTCGCCAACAGTTGATACAAACATTCCCAATTGGTATGAGTAAAACTTTTTGAGCTACTCTTTTCAGAGAAATCGACTAAATTTTGCTATCTTTTATAGTTAGTGAGATATGAATTTTTAAAACCCCGGAGTTCTTTTATAGACACCCTGTATATATACCTTAAAGCCATCCACATTACACTTTAGATCACTGTAAAAATTGTACATTTATATTTGTATTAAAATTGAGAACTAGTTTCAATACAATTAATTACTTATCCTCCTTCTGACATCATTAAATAATAAACATTTGATACAGAAAAACTTTCTTCAGCAAATACTGTTTTTTAACTTTACATTTTGCAAAAAGGAGGAACAAACTTGCCTTTAAAATGCTTTTCTGCATAGTTTTTCAACTGCTTCAATACCATCCATTCACATAAGACATTGCGTTCACTCCTCTTATTTTTACCTCCTTAATTAGGATGCTCAATGTACTACCCATTTCATTTTAGAAAATTATACCTAGCTTGAATCAGAATACTTTTAATTATAATTAAAATCATTGCTTTTAGGTAGAGGAACTGCTACCTATGATGGGGCAGCTATTGCTTATGCCACTGCAAAACATTTAGCTAAGAACATAGGCTGCCGCACTTTATTTTCAACTCATTATCATGCTCTTGTGGAGGATTTTCATGGTGTGCCGAATGTTGGACTTGGACACATGGTAAATTTTTAAATATATATATATAGATGTTATATTATTTCATGTGAAGAAAAAATATAAAAGGAATTTAAAATTAGGGAAGAGTTGTGTTGTATGCTGTAAATTTGTGTGCGATTTATATTCTCTTCAGATTATTGGAAAAATTTTTCCTTTCTGCTGAAAGTGAAATTCACCTTTTATTGGAATTGCCTAATTAAAATTACAAATAACTAGAGGTGTATCCAGTACTGGTCCAGATTTTCATTCCCCGGTTATTATCTGATCCAGACAAAATGTTTGACAGACCCGGTTTTTTCTCTCAAACCTGACTCTGCCAATTTTGCCGGGTAACACTCATTTATGTTTGACACAATCATATTCAACCATCATTTTGCCTACATAGCAATTTTTAGTTTGCAGGCTTCATACATGTCTTAAAAATGTTTAATTTTGCATCAGAAAAATTAAATATTCTTAAAAGTTCTTTCTTTTTCTTTAAAGGGAAAGGTGTAAAGGAATTTTTACTTTCATAATTTAATGTTTTAAAAATAAAAATTCTAATGATTTTAAGTTAAAGTAATCAATTTTTGATAGAAATAGTGATAGCAAATTTTATTTCTCTTATTGATTTCATCGTTGGTGACGTGCCATCGTCTTCAGCACTGGCAAGCTAATGGCCTTCTTGAGATATTATATTTATAGATTAGTACCATAATCTTTGAACTTGACTTGAGGATAATTCACTAATTACGTATTTTCATGTGGGTCCGCATAACAGCCATTGGCTTCATCACCTCAAAATTTTTATCTCCCTTTTATTCATTAAATTTAGAAATTAATTGAAAATTTTAGGCGTAATATTTTTACCTGAGGGACTGTCCACCACTTTCGTAAAAGTTTTGTAAACTTTTATTGTACTTTATTACTTTTTTTGCTTTTATTTCTTATTAATTATATTTATTATTATTAGTTTTAAAATTTTCAGTACTCTTAAATTGTTTTATGAGATAATATTTAGAGGCAAGATTTTAAAAAAAAGTATGAAGTAAGGGGCTTTTTATTCCAAAAAACTTTCAACAATTCAACTCTTAATGATTTTATTTGCAAACAATTAAAATGAAAAATTCAATTATCTCAGATTTATTAAATATTATGAATGTAAGGACCATCTAATAATTTACTTTTGACAAAAATGTTTAGGTTCAATACTCATTGTTTTTACATTTCAAAATTATTGAAATTTTTAAAATCATTTCATGAAAAAAAATACTGAACCAAGTAACAAATAATAACATTTTTTAGGGCCATTCACTAATTTACGTTCATAATATGAATTTATTAAAGTTTTCTTAGTTTGATTAATTCTTAACATATCTTTATAAATTCAGTGTGATCAATAGTATTAATCTTGTTAATGTTTTGTTGAATATACTTTTATAAATAACTTTTATTTAAATCTAAAAAATATACTCAATAACCTTTTCCAAATAAATAGTTAAATTAATTGTAATTTTGAATTAAATGTTTTACATAATTAAGTAAAGTAATTATTAATTTAAAAATAAAATGAGCTGCTTAGTATTGAATATTTTTAAAATTGTGTATAAATTGTTTTTATCATGGCTAATATAATCAAGAAAAGAGTTCTTTGTCAGAAACTAGTTATTTTACCATGATCATGTAAAGTTTTTTGAAATTATTTTGTATTTTGTTAATGTATTTCTGAAGAACTTATAGGAACCAGTAGGAAGAATAAAAATTTATTATTGATGCTCATATCCTAATTACAGGGTTGGAATTTTCGATATCAAAAACTGGTTTTTGACTTGACGAGTCAGAAACCTGTTGTAAAATCAAAAAATGTTGAAATCTGACAAAAACTGTCAAAATCTGACAAAACTGTCTAAAACTTAGGACAAGCTTCTTTATTAACATTTGGGGCATTTTATTAGACGTTAAATAAAACACAATACTTGCATTATATACTACTATAATTATAATTTATATTATGTATCATTTATAAAAAATATAGCCAAAATTATTAATTTGTAATAAATTATTAATTGGTTTTTCTAAAAACATGGTACTCTTAATATATTGCAAGTAATAATGAGTTGTTACATTGTAAATATTAATTTTAATTATAATGTCATAATTTAGGCAGATTTTTTAGATTAAGTAAAACTAAAGTGGTCGCCAATAATTGCCTGATCTCAACTTAGAAAAAATAAGCATTTCTTATCCATTCTAAATGTTTGTCTATTCATGTGAATGAGGTTTCGAGGGAAATTCAGGCAGCCAACGGAAAATTCTTTGTCTAAAAGTCCTTCAAACACTTTTATTGTTAAAAAACATTAAATGTGAATTTGTGTGTTTATTAGTTTGAATTCCTTAAGTTTATTAATGAGACCTTTGATTTCTAATAATCTTTAACATATTCTCGTTTATTTAAGAATTGTGTAAAATCAAATAAATTTCTTTTCTTACATAAACTTTACTTTCCAAAAATATTTTAAAAAAGTTTTTGTACAAAAGCAAAATTTACCAAATTAATAAAAATATTTCAGAGGTCACAGTGACCTCCTATAACCCCCCATTCAGCATCCCTAAAATCACTTGATTCATAAAAAAATTAATCATACTTAAATACCTTTATTACTGTATACCAATTCAATAACTCACCTTTGAAAAAATCAGACTTAAATAAACCTTAAAAATAATTATATAACATCTTATTTTATAGGCATGCATGGTTGAAGATGATAGTGGAAGCCCCACTTTAGAAAAAGTGACATTTCTTTATAAATTTGTTAATGGTGCTTGTCCTAAGAGCTATGGCTTCAATGTTGCTCGATTGGCTGGAATAGATGAAGAGGTACAAATAATTTTCTTTTATATTTTTATTGCCAATCAATAAAACACAAGAACATTTATTGATAAATATCATATTCTAAAATATTTATAAAATTTTAAGTATTCTTTGGATTTTAGATAACAGTAAACACATCGATTATAAATTTTTATCATAAGTCTTCTACCAGATACATTTGGGCATAATTTTTTTTTTCTTTTTATGTTGAACAAATAACAGGAAGCTATCATAAGCTAATAGAAATCAAAATTAAACTAATCACTCAGTTCTCTTATCCTTAAACAACCCATCTTTAAATTTGTATTTAGATTGATACTATACATAATTATTAAATTCTAACCTCTTTTCAAAATGACATTGTTCTACTTGTGGGTCATTTTTTAATGATGTCACTGATTAGTTTTAATTTTATAAATATTTTTAATGTATCTATTAATTTTAAAAAAAAATAATTTTTACAAACAGATAATATATAAGATGAATATAACAGACCCCAAAAAGTAAATTCCTGAGCTGTTTTATTATATTGTATTCAGTCTTGTTGATATTTTATGAGTATATTGTTATTACAAGTGATTAGCAAGCACTGTCAATGAGCTAAGATGCAAATATTATGTGTTCATAAAGTGATAAAATTGTGAATAAATTAAATTTTAAAAAATCAAAATTTATCACCGTAATGCCAACAAATGTTTTAAGAAAGAAATTACATTTATCAGTTCCCATCATAGTAATTGGAAAACAAGTATTGAAGAAATATTTTGTTTCTGCCTAACTCATGTAACATAATAAGAAATTAATTTCAAAGTATGTTTTTTTTATTAATATGCTGCCTGTTTCATTTGCAAATTACTAGGCCAAAGACTTGAGTTAGTTTTTTTTCCTCAATTTATCTAAAAATTTAACAGAATGTCAATTTTTATTGTAATTTTCATTGCTAGTCTAATCTTTTTTTAAAAAATGGCAACATTTTGAATGACAGATGAGTCTTTTGAATCTGGAAAAAGATGATCTTAAAAACTCAATTTACTGCAAGGTAGAGCAACTCGTCCTTACGCATTGTAAACCCTGGCTATGCCTCTGCTCTGTATCCCGAACAATTTAAACAAAAAATTTGCTTGCATATAGAGGAAAAGAGAAGTAAATTATCAAAAAGATATATACTAGCAATGTAAGCATTAGTACAAATAAATGGGGGATTAATCCCTTAAACTTTTTTTTTTTAATTATCCCCTAAATTTAATTCTTATCAATGCTGTTTTTTTTCTAGTTTAAATACCGTAGCTGGCAATCTACAGGGATGAGATTCTTCCTCGGATTCGCGGATTTCCGCTTTTTTTTTCCAGATTTTTCCCTCTAATTTCCTCTGAAATTTTTTTTTTGCACAAGTTAAAATGTTTTATGAGGAATTTAATTTTACTCGGAGGGAAATTATTGAAGTCCCTTTTCCTCCCTCTGAAGTTTCTCTAAAAATCATTTCCTTGGGATAAAACTGGTTGACCTTTATACAGGGATGAGATTTTTTTTGTCTCTCGAATTTCAGCCTTTTTATCAAAAACTCCGATTCTCTAAAAGTTTCGTTTTTTTTAAATAAATATCCCGTTTTTTTTTAAATTCAGTCATTGAAGTAAAATAATTATATTTATTTACGATTTTCAAAGATAAACAGAAAATTCAATCTA